TTATAGTATGTGCTGAAAATATACCAATGGTATATACTGAGGATATTCTGTTGATATACCAGAATATCAACAGAATATTATTTGTAATATGTATCGTATATCGTAGGTATATACCCGAGCAGAAATTTTAGTAGGATCCTGATAGGGGCCTAATAAAGATGCTTTAATGCCTGGTCAGGCACTCATCAGGCAGTCCTGACAGGGCCCTGACAGTAAATGCAACGTCGAGAATTAAAATTGCCTGATCAGGTTTTCTTTATCAAGACCTCCCCAGTGAGAAATGATTCGTCGATCGACATCGAAATGATGTCGAATCGACGTCAATTCGACGGTGTCGATGTCGATTCGACGTCGTTTCGACGTCGATCGATGATTCATTTCTCACTGGGTCCTGACTTGCCCTTTGTTGCGCCTTGCAGTTTCTAATAGGGAGTGGGACATCAATAGGCTTCCTATTAAATTCAATTTGTTAAACTAACTGTTAAATTGTGTTAAATTACATAGTCATTAAAAGTATATTTAGGTTATTGAGGTTTAGCCATGATCCAGACAACTCGCTCTCGCAATGTATCGGCTCGCCTTTTATACTAATACGGAACGATTTTTACTTACGAGAAAGACTAACGCGCGGTCGCCACGTCGCGGTAGTATGTGGTACTAGTGCTATCTATTCAGGAGGGAATCAGGCGTACCGGATCAGGCACATGTCTATATTCCGCGTATATCCCATGCACATACGAGAAATAACGTACTACTAAGATATTATTCGAATGTTCTCAATTTATCCTGTATTATCACAGAACATTCAGTATGAGTACAGAATATTCGAATGATATCATGTGCTGTGTGGGAACTTGAACTTCAAACGAACTCGTACAGAGCTCCTTGGAAGCTCCTATGTCCGCTTTTGAGAGTTCCTTAGGAGTTTAATTTAAGCTCCCTGCGAGCTCCCTGGCTCCCTGGAAGCTTATTTTATCGAATTTTGTAAGCTTCCCGGGAACTCAGCAAAATGAACTCCCTAGAAGCTTGTTTTGTCGAATTTTGTAAGCTTCAAGGGAGCTCAGCGAAATGAACTCCCTGGGAGCTTAATCGGAGCTTTGTGCTGTGTGAGATCCTTAACCAAAAATTTGCACATGTCAACAAGGAGATATTCGACTTTCTGTTGATTGTAGAACTATACATTTTAATAGTACTGTCGCGATCAAAAACTACCTTAAATTAAATACTTTACTTAAATATTGCAAAGTTTATAAAAATTCATAAAAGTTTTTGTTGCTCGGCTCTTTGTTTACTTATACTTACATAAATACAAAGTATACATACCTTATGAGAGGAGAAATCATTGGGGTACCACGGCTTACAGGAAAGTCTACTTTCGGATAGAGATTTGCAATCTGTGGTTGCAATCCTGCATTGTAAAGTTTTCCAATAGATTCTAAAAATGTCTTACTATGATCCTCGATACGTTCATGTAACGCTACATTTGTTACTGTAGAGCACAAGTAATTTTTTAAAACGTGTTGAAGAATATTCTGAGGAGATATTTCAATCGTCACTGTATCTCTTGGAATCGAACATATTGTCTTTGAGAATAATACCGAGGATAACAGATGATTTGTATAATATTTTGAACATAAAGGCAGAAGTGTATTGGAATACTCGTGAGCAGATGTAGTTAGCCACTTCGAACTACGAAACTTTTTTTGTGGTAATATTTGATTCAAGTATTCTTGGAATTTAGCTATAGCAGGCTCGATGTAACGGCTATGAAAAGGCATATTACCACAAGAAATCTCTTTTACTTGAATATTATTAGCCTAAAAGAATGAACAGATATATATGTTGATCAACTTTCGAAATAAAAAATATTAATTATTAATATTTAAAATAGTATTCATAATATATCAGAAATATTATTTATATGATTTAAGAAAGACAAGCAGATAATATTTACTATATTGTTTAAATATGTACCCGTAATTTGACGAGAAATGCCTTTATAGAATCGTTTGGTCCGCTCACGATAAAATTAGACGAGCTATTGTAACAAGCTACATCAATATCGGAAGGACGCATATCTTTCAAGGTTTCAAGATTGATATTAATTTCAGCCATGGAACCATTAATTATATTCGATTCAAGAAGTGCTAAACCAATGAAATATGCCGACACAATTGTTTCTTCAGTTGTCCAACATCCATCGGCATATCCACAGAGTAATTCACCAATGGAATGACCGATTATAAAGTCGGGAATGATACCAATGGATGTTAAAAGATCGACCATTCCAATCTGTAACATACATATAAAAGAGATTTTTCTTCTAAATCCGCTTCTAAATCTTATTTAAATGATAATAAGTAAACTTTTATTCACTTTTACTTTTTATGAATATAACCACATGTCTCGGTGATCAAATTGATGAGACGCCCGCCTAATAGTGAGGTGTAGGTGATATAATACAATCCCACACAGCAAGGGGAACTCCCGGGGAGCTCCCGGGGAGCTCTTAAAATTGGTCATAAGCTTCACTTGAACTTCAACGAACTCGCACGGAGCCCCCTGAGAGCTCCTATGTCCGCTTTTGAGAGCTCTCTGGGAGCTTTATTTAAGCTCGCAGGGAGTTTAAATGAGGCTTCCAGGGAGCTCTCAACTAGTACTAACTCGCTGGAAGCTTGTTTTATCGAATTTTGTAAGCTTCCCGGGAGCTCAGCGAAATGAACTCCCTGGAAGCTTGTTTTGTCGAATTTTGTAAGCTTCCCGGGAGCTCAGCGAAATGAACTTCCTAGGAGCTTAATCAGAGCTTTGTGCCGTGTGGGATATTACCCTGAGGTAATATATTTTACAATAAATTAAAGAATTAAAATTATTTAAACATTAATATTCTGTCTGAGCTGTTACTCCTTTATTCCTTCAAATCTGATATCAAATCAAACCCTTATGAATTTTATTAATTGTTTATTTTTAAAAATTTATTTAAATAATATTGAATTAAATATGTTAAAATTTATAATAATTATTATTTAACTATTATGTAATTTTTAATTGTGTTTGTATAGTATACACAGACAGAAATATTGTATATGTTAAAAAATATACAAGGTGATTCACAACTCCTTTTACAATGCTTATGAGAAGGTAGAACGGTTCAAGATGAACAGAAAAGTCCTGTACAATTTTGCAATTTTCGCAATAGTTAACGAGTAACTAATTTTTAAAAGTCATCATCTTAGCCCGGCCGCCCAAATGGAGCGCGTGACAAGATATGACCGCCCAGCGATCGATATAATTGTCAGGCGCACGGAAAGTTGTTTACCGCAATCGGCAATGGCTACGCACGAACGGCGCGCAAAGTAAATAAATAAATGATAATTATTTAGATTAACATATTCCCCTCCAATAAACTTGGGCTTGATATACATTATAATGGTAAATGGCAAAATGGTACAGGACTTTTCTGATCATCTCAATCCATTCTACCTTCTCACGAGCGTTGTAAACAGAGTTGCGAATCACCCTGTATACATATATAAAATATATATATTAAACAAAAAATTTTTCTTTTTACCTGCAGACCAACGAGAGCTAAAAGTAAATTAATGATATTGTCGAAAATACTCTCATTTGCACTTGTTAAAATATTTGTAAGAAATATACCATAAGGTCTCAACGCCACATCACACTTGTGGACTGCCTTCGCAAACACTGGAAATTTCATTAAAGCTTGACCTGTAAAAATTTTAATAAAAATATTAATAAAAATTGTTTAATCCTCTAATGCACACACATGCACCCACCTTTCTTCCCCTCCCACACACACACACGAACACACATACACACAGACTTACTCATTCCAGACCACTGAGATCCTAGTCCAGAAAATATAAAACAAATTGGTCTTTTCATATATGAATTAGATGCTACTTTATTAATTGTATTGTATGATGTTTTAGACTCATTGTCAGTTATCATGTAGCCTCTGTAAAGGTGACCTTCTATATTATCATTTTGAATATGATGCAGTAGAGTTATGTATTCTATGTCTACAGGTCGATTTTTCACCTGCATTAAATATAAAGAAATATTTGCTATACTCTTTCGTGAAATAATTTTACACAAAGACGGAAAATGTTATTGTTTTCTTTTGCAAGAAATGTTTCTAATAGAATGCTTTATTATTACTTAATGTTTAATATATTGAATAAGGACCCGTACAGCACGCATATCTAAAAGACGACTTAAATTTAAGATGTCTTTTAGACATGCGTGCTGTATGGAGATTTTGACTTTAACACTCTTTAGATAATTTAAAGTTCTTCTAAAACAATTTATATTTGCAAAAATAATTTTTTAAACACTATATAAATACAATTAATAGAGAATATGTCATTTTTGATCAGGTTAGATATTGGTGTTTTAATTTTATGTATAAATTTTGTATATACTTATTACAACTCAGTAAGTTGTTTGCCATTATTTGTTGTTCGTAATATAGGTTTTTATTTAAACAATAAATCCACATTCAATTATAAATTAATTCAGAATTGCTTTAACAATTTTACAAATATATACTTACGTCATCTAAAATGATGTTAACAGCCTCTTCCGTACTTCCAGACACGGTTACAAGTCTAGGTAAATCATCATTTGGTGCACCATTACTGATTTTTTCTTTAGGATTCGATTTTAACAATATATGGCAATTAGCTCCGCCAAAACCGAAGGAATTAATACCAACATAGCCACCTTTCCATGGCGTTGGTTCAGTAACAATCTTTATTCTTCCTTCCATAACAGCAATCATCTCTTTTCGTAGATCTTTTAAATGTATAGTAGGGTATATTGTGCCAGTTTCCATCGAAAGTAATATCTTAAAAAATTTTTAATCTTTTGTTATTAGTAAATTTTATTTGCGTGATTATTGTAAAGTATTATAAACAAATTAACCTAATAATGATGTAAGAGAATTAAACCAGGTTATACAGTTCTTATTATAATACAAGATAATCTTAATTAACGTATTAGGATGCTAATACGTCTAACTGGTTTACAACATATTAAAACTATAATATTATATGATGGTTTTAAATATAAGAACGGACTACGACTATCAGCCTTAAACTATTATAATGGTAGTCTAGCAATAAATAAATTTAACATTTAAAGGTTTTTTACACATTTACCTTTGCAATTTGACAAATGCCACTACAAGGTTCGGAGTGTCCAATATTCGATTTTATCGAACCCATCAACAAAGGAGTGTTTCTTTTAGCACATATAGCCTGATCAATAGACAATATTTCCGTAGGATCACCTGCTATAGTACCGGTTGCATGAGCCTCCAGGTAGGATAATTCAGTAGGCGATATTCCACATTCTTCGTAAAATTCTTCCAATAATAATGTTTGCATTTTGGACGATGGGAAGGTGATACCTTCTTCTTTAAAGCCATCACAATTTGTTTTACCATATACGAAAGTCGCATATATTCTCTTGGCATTTTTTGCCTTTTGCAAAAACACCACTGCCACTGAATCACTGCGCATATATCCAGTGCCTTTTTCATCAAAAGGCCTACAATAACCATCAGAAGACAGCACCCCTAAAAGAAATTGATGTTAATAAACCAAATACTTTCAATTTTGATTTAATTGCTGAATGCAGGAATATGGGACGTACAAAGAAATTTTACGGGCAAAGTCAATTTTATTTATATTTTTATTTTAATTATTGATGTGAATATAAATATGTATCTTTCAATAATAAAGAGGTACACTAAGATATTAATATTAATTATTTCTATTTTGCATTATTAATTAAAATAAAAGTACGTAAATATAAATACTTTAACTGTTATAAAGAAAAACAGATATACATATCAATATTATAAGATAGTAATATTATTGAAGATATAATAAATATATACCAAGACAATAAAATCCGTAATTTAAGTGAGGATGGAGGCACAGATTAGCGGTAACGACAATAGCAGTATCACATTCTCCAGATCGAATATATCTATAAGCGTCTATCATGGCGAAAAGGCTTGAGCTGCATGCTGTATCGACATTGTATGATGGTCCAGTAACGCCAAGCCAGTAAGAAATTCTGTTTGCCACGAAAACTCTAGTGCACCAATGTGGTATTCTACAAGTCTAATTACGTTTACTTTTTTTAATGCTTGAAATATTAGAATGTGCAATTAACAAGCTATACATATAATATTTTTAAAACTATTTATAATCATTGCAAAAATTTTTATTTTATGTATTAACAAGATAAATTTTCAAATTTCTAACAAAAAGAAATTTACACAGAGTTAACGTTCTTTTGTATAAACTTTAATTAACATTTAAAAATTAATTAGGTAATTGAGTGTATCGTACATCGGATTTAGCATAGATATAATGACTTTGTATATCGGAAGAAATTGCTGTGAAAACACCCGCTTTCGTTCCCCGTAATTCTTTAGGATTAACACCCGCATCGACAATTGCTTCGTAAGTATGCTCCAATAACGTTCTGGCCATAGGATCCATTACATCAGCTTCAGAGATGGATATATCGAAAAATTGTTCATCAAACTTTTTTATATTGTTGACCTTACCGATTCGATAAGGCATGTCAAAGCCTATATAAATAGAATTATAGTATATAAGTATATTTATTATATGTATACACACGTACCTATTTACTATATGTATAATGAATGCATCCAAATGTCTTCAAAAGAATTTGCAATACACAGGGTGTCATGCAATGCGCGAACAGCTGGCAAATTTAGATAACCCTGATGGAAAAATTTTGCTGAAAATGTAATAAAATTGATGAAAAGTGAAATGAAAGTTATTGGAAACTTGTTGAAACCATTTCAAAATAAATCATAAGTTTCGTTATGAAATTCAATGAAATACTGTGAAATTAGATGAAAGTTAATTAATATTACTAAAAATTAGTGAAAAAATTTTAGAAATGTTGTATATTATGAAATTTGCAGAATTTCACTGAAAATAAATTTTTTAATGAGAAATTGCTGAAATGATAATGAAATTGGGTCAATTGCAAGAGATTTTCAACCAAATTTCAGCGAATTTCATTACGTTTTCAGCAAAATTTTTCCATCAGGGAAAGCAAGGCAAACTGAATCAAAAAGTCTTATATCATTTTACAAATAGCTTAATAGTTTTAAGAGTAATAAAAATAAAAACGTCTGGGCAAAGGAGCGCACGAGAAGCAGTAGGCCGGACTGGGGAGGCATGCTAAATGTCTACATAGATTTTTATTGTTTGAAAGTTGTTTACTATCTAGAAACAATAAACATCCTAATAAACAACTTTTAAAAATATAAATTTTCTATTAGATGTAGTATAGTATAATGATTAGTAGGATGTCTAATAATTTTGTCTAAGGCTGTACATCTTAATCTCAAGAGAAAAGTTTATTAATTACAATCATTCCACCGTCCGTGATCGTTCGAACCAAGATCCATTTTCTTGAAAAGATTCTCTTGTAGCTCTTTAAGATTGTCGCTGTTAGGAAATCGGCCAGCAATGCCAGAGATAACGATTTCTTCTTCAGCGTCATCGTTGATGTACGAGTTTGCTCGATTCATAGCACCTTTATTTTCTTCGGAATAAATAAATTCTATAACAACATATCATGGC